GTGATAAAGGCAAAGGAGGACAAAGGAGGACTGTAAAGAGTTAAAGGCCACAGAGGTAAGTACTGTCATAGACACAATAATGGGGTTGGGCTGAATGGATGTGGGATCCAGAGTGATGTGTGAGGTGGGGTTGACTAAAACAAATCCAGGGACACTCACATATGTATAAGAAAGACCTTTGTATCAAAGAGTAATTGTATATTAAGAAAACATGCTAGCCAAGTCCAGATCAATTCCATAAGTCCAATATTAGCCATTAAGTCCAATACTAGTCCATACATCTCTCTTCAGATGCAGGAAGCATGTGCAATGATGCAGAATGCAGGAATCTCACAGGCTAGTATGCATGAAGTCTTGTGGGTCCAGTGGCAGTGGAAGCATCTCAGCACTGGTGCAGGTCTCCACCTGGCTCCCCCAGCTCTCCGAGTGTAGTTCTTCAACAGGAAGTTGAAGCAGAGAGAGGGATTCTCACAGGTCTCCGCAAGTCTCCAAGTGGCTTGTCAACAGGAAGATGAAGGCAGAGAGATTGGGAGGCGGGTCTACAGAGAGCCATTTATCTCGGTTGCCCTTCAATCAAGGTGCAACTTGATTGACAGGCTAAACTCCACCCTTTCATTCTTCATCCCCTCAAGTTGACACAAGATTATGTAACTAGCACAAACGGGGTAGACCCACACACAGATCGGTTTGACTGAGTATATCTGTACATGGACATTTATCTTTGCTGCCAATGTATCTATGGATATGGTGAACATAGAGGGGACAATTTTATAAAAGCATCTTGTATATAACCAGGCACCTTGGACAATGAGTCACTGAGCCTGGGGGCTCAGGACCGTAGTCTCAGGAACACAAAAGTCAGTTGGCATAACAATGTCCATAAAGTCTAAACCCTACTTTGGTGAATAGCCACTGAGTTATTAAAAGCTTGTGATTGACCATTTAAGGTACAACTATTGGTCTCTCCTTATCTGGAGGAAAGAAAAGTAATGAAAATTGAAGATATATGGAAACAATTCGTCTGATGGACTGATGGACCATGCGTACATCAGTCTCCATGACCCGGAGACAAGGACTAAATGGTGGCCAGTTACTCTCAGTGAAAACTCTAAGATTGTGTTCCTTGATTATGCCTTGGGTTGGAATGAATTCTCCTCTGTGGCTCACTTTTCAGCTAAACAAGAGACACATCAATAAGGGGAATAATAACACTATGATGTGTGCACCCCACAGAACAATACACTTTTGGGACCAAGCGGAAGCACTTACCCAAGAACAAAGTTCTTAAAGGCTAGAAAGAATGAGGAATGGAGACAAGAAATGCACTGAGGAGATGGGGTAAGGGATGTCACATTGAGGTGACTACAACGAATGCGATGAAACAAGAGCATTATGAATTGTTGAACGTAAAACTGATGATCTGCTCTGTAAATCTTGACCCAATTCACAATAAAAAAAA